CACATTACATTAAAAATGCATAGCCAGACCAAACTCTCCTTCAGCATTCCATATTTATAACAAGCTTTGAATCGGAGAAAAGCACTGCTATCTTTAACTTTACCAAATCTGTAATAGTAAAGACAATAGCTTAATAATATTATTTAAAACTTTAAATCTCATTGATAAAGAAAATTGTTATAACAGTAAGTAGGAATTTTTAAATTATAAATGATCAAAAGTCCACTGCAAAATTATAAGATCTCTCTCCCAAAACTTCATAAGAATTTTTCTGATAAATCTACCAAACGTAGAGATGGAGTGCCTGATATAGAAGGTAACCTTAGTGTATGATACAGAAGTGTATGATACAGAAGGTAACTTTACTTTAAGCAATACAAAAACTGATATTTTTAGAACTATTTTCAGGTAACTACGGTACCTGCTTTACAATTTGTTCCATGGATTTCAGGACTTCCGGTGGTGACATCAGCGTGTTAGGGACGAAAGGAACGGATCTCTGTTCTCCAAGTCCCTAATATCTTCGATTTAGGAGCTGATTTAGGCACTATTGACCTCGGAGAGGTCAATAGAAAAAAAGGGAAACTCCGAGGAACTCGGGGAGGACAGCAATCCCCCCGAAGGTTCAGGAAACCCCCCTTAATTCTGATAGAGGAAGAACCAGCCATCCTGGCTGGCCAGAAACATTGACAGCTGACTAAGAGGGAAGCGAAAATCAAATAAAGAAGACTTCAGTGGAAGGATCGGGAAGAAAAATAGCTCAAAAGGTACATTTACAATCCATAACGTGAAGATTGAAGGCGGGAAAAGATAAACTCCAACTAAGAAGCAAACCACAGCTAAATAAGCAGCGACTGAGAAATAAGCGGAGACGGAATCCATCTTGACAGTGACAGTGCATAAATTAACAGCCGGCGAAATCGGAGGAAATCCAGAGGAAACCCAGGAGGAGAAAGTGATCCCAGAGAAAATTTGGACTTTGGATATTTCGCCACAGAGGAGAGACAGAATTTAAGGAGAGAAAGGGATAAATTTGACAGATTTTGCCCTTTGTGGAGGCGGCAACGAGGCAATCAACAAGCAGCCGATACCGGAAGAGAGAGTGGCAGAAAAACTCAGTTTAAAGTGGAAGCTAGTGATTTCTGGAGCTAAACCAAACCAACCTAAGTGGAATATTCTCCTTTGGACTTTTGGATATTTGGAGATTTGGACGAAATTTAGACAGCACTTAGACATCTGGACTTGGATTTTTTTTGAAAGGTGGACGTTTTGGAGCTTTGGTGGACACTCAATTTAAAAGTACTGGGACACTAGACCTTGGAAGCAAATAGACAATAAACAAGAAGGATACAAATTTGGAAAAAAAAGAAGAGAGTGATCTAGAAGAAGAAGAATCAACTGTAAAGTATAATTAATTGTATTTAAGTCTGATAACAAATTAGTGATTAAAAAGCATAAAAAGTATTAATATTAAACGTACTGTTCTTGAAATCTCATATATAACCTTATATACCACATATACAACTGTTAACTTAGTTTTATATTTACTTTAAATATATATTTATACTTACCTTAGTTTTATATTTTATCTTGGTATTTAAATATCATATTGTTTTGTATGTTTAGTTTTGAAGAATTATATTAGATAGACTAAGTGAATTTAGGATTGTAATTAAGGGTAATTGATATCTATAAATAGTAATTAATAACAAATTTAAACAAGATAGCAAGTAATTAATTATAAGGACAACTAACTGATGAATTGCTGAAGTATTAGACTTTTCCCTCATTCCCTCCCCCTATATTTTATCCCCATTTTTAGAGAATAATATAGGCTAAATAGCCATTAAGAATTGAAGAACTCTGTAAAACATTGAAAAGTGAAAGATAGAACTTATAGATAAACTTATATATAGACAGTGATTGTATGATAAGGAAACTTATCCTAGTTGTTTATTTCCCTGGGATTACTGAAAGCTATAAATTGAATATAAATATCAAAAGAGATATAACAGCCCAAATAGTAATCAGTATATGAAACTCTGGGAGAAGATAACAAAAGAAATACTAATGGCAACTACAGGGTCAGCAACAATTACTAAGTCAAGTAAGAAAATACCATCAAACCAGATGATACTCACGGCCTCTCCAGCACAACAAAAATGAGTCAAAACTACGGAAAAGGATAAGGCAACCCCCACTCTTAGTATGCAAAACATCCACTCTGTATTAACGATGATCCAGGAAGGAAGGAATAGAATGCAAGAGACCATGGCCCACAACCATGAAGAGACAAGGAAAAACCATGAGGAACTTAGGACGGATGTGGGAGAGATAAAGGATAATATTAGGAACATGGATGAGAAGATAGGAAAGATACAACAGAACATAGAGGAAAACGAACAGAGGATCCATAAGGTGGAGGAGAGAATAGAACATACGGATAAGAGAATGGAGAGGATGGAATACAACCAAGCGGCCACAAATAAGGAACTAGAGGACTCGTTATCATACCTCAAGATGGAGAAGGCATCCTTCTATTTAAGGTTTCAGAACATAGAAGAGCAAAAGGAGGAGGACTTAGGAGAAATTATGACTGAGATACTCTCAGAAGTGACCCAGAGGGACAAGGAAGAGATACGAAGCGGAATAGATGAAATCTATAGAGTTCACACGAACTACGCCCAGAGAAATAAGTTACCAAAAGAAATACACATTAGATTTACAATTTGTTCCATGGATTTCTTTTGGAACTACTTAAAAAAAATGCGATCTCATCACAACCATATTCTAAGAAATGTACCGTACATTAAAATTGAATGGATTCTAGCCAGTTTTACAGGCTTTACAAACTTTTCATCATTTCTTTACAGTATTATTTTCCAAACTTTCAAAGTTAAAGGGCTCTTAAGATATCTTACTAAAAAAAAGTAAAGTCTAGTTATGTGCTTCTATCTTCAGTCATGGTTATCTTTCAATCAAAGACTATTGTTCAAGTTATGTCTACTTATAACCAGCAAGTTAATTCCCTTTTTAATACTATTGATGCTGACAAATATGATGCTAGAATATATAAATCTGCTAGTTACCTAATTACTTAATAACAACTTTTTCAGGTTTGTATTTTAGATTTCTGGATTTTCTCAATTTGATTGCAAATACTGTATATAATATCTGAGATGACATTGGGAGGTTTCAAATTTCAGTGCACTTTCCCTCATGTCTATTTCTTTCATCTATACTTCATGTTTAAATGTTAATTGCCTCGGCATTGAGATATAAAGATATAAAAATATATCTTAGAAAGAACTCAAAAACACCAACTTTCAATATTATTTTATTATTTATTTACAATGCCTTACATTTTATTTAATAGATAATGCACTAAATTTAATTAATCTAAGAAACTCAAGAAGGATATAATGTTTTCACTTTCTCTATATTTTACTGCATTATATTTCATCAAATTATAGAAGCAAGCTTTGACAGCTGGCTACAAGAATCTTTCTCTAAAGAATCAATCTCTATTGTTTTAGAAATAACTACCGTATTCTTCGGAGTATAAAACACACCTTTTTACCCCTCAAAAGGGGGTGAAAATTTAGGTGTGTCTTATACACCGAATGTAGCCCTGCCCACTCACTGGCCCCCACCCTTTGGCCTCTGCCTCGCAGCAGTTACCTTCTTGCAAGCAAACAGCAAGAAAAAACAGTCCTTTCCAGCTTCAGCATAGGTTAATTAGCACAAGTTGATTAGATTGGCCTCCCGACTCTCAGCTGATTTGCTCTCAGCTGTTTTGCGCAGGGCTCTCCTGCTTGCTGCAAAGAGTGCTGGAGCAGATTTTTTTTCTCCTAGCTATGCTGAAAAAACGAAACTGAAAGTAAAGCAGGCTCTTTCCTGCAACGTGACAAAATGAGGCAGAGAGAGATTTCTTTTTCTTTTTCCTCACCAAAAAAAGGTAGGTGCAAACAAAGGGAAATTTAGGGCAAAAGAGGAGAGTTCAAGATTTTAAAACACAAAAGAAAAAGAGCTCTATTTAACTAGGGAATTGTAATAATTGAGATACTATTAATTGTATATTGTGTTGAAAGCAGAAATGGTTAAGTTGTGGTTTGGAGGAATATATGGAGAAAATTATTTGGTTTATTACTATTGGTAAATATAATTAATTGATTTGTAAGAAATTGGATTGCATGGAAATAATTGGAATATTCATGTTCATATTGATTAATATACAAAAAAGATAGTTATAACTAATTGATTTATATAAAAATGTTGAATTTGTATTAAACAATTGTAATATTAAATAATTAACCAATGTGAGGAGGGATATAAAAATAGATGACAATGGGAAGGGGTATAATATAGAATAGAAGGGAAAATTGAATTTGATTAAGATTAGAGATAAGAATGAAGGGTAATATTGTTTTTTTTTAAAAAAATAGATGAGGAATAAATATGGCAAAAAGGAAATATAGAAATTGTAAATTTAATTGAAATGACTGAACACTGTTTAAATTTGTGAACCAGCCAAATACTCTGTTCAAAGAAAATACATTAGAAAAAATGCTTTGAAAAGTTAAAAAAAAAAAAGTTGGCCATGCCCACCCAGTCACATTACCCACCACCACCAAGCCACGCCCACAGAACCGGTAGTAACACATTTTACATTTCACCCTTGGTTTTTACCATGGTCATTAGCGAATCACATGGAATTACACAGTTAAGAGAATCTGCAAATATTGGAAACAGGTTGGGAAGATCACAAATCTTGTGATGGCAAACATCATAAATGTGAATTAGGTGCCAGGTGTCTGAATTATGATCACATGATCATGTCAATGGTGCAATATGTTTCTACAATATGTTAAAAAAATATGTGATAATGTGAGCATCTAATTTCTCCTGATTTATCTGATTTTTAATGTTTCAATACTGTGCCTCGTGTTTGTACTGCATGTTGCCTTGGGACCATAAATAAATATGCAAAAATGTCCTACCTGCTGCATCAATCTGCTGCTCCGTTTCTGAGGTTGGTACATGAGCCAAGTATATAAAACTGGATCAATATTAACTGTTAATCCCTGCATGCTGGCCAAAAGCACTGCTCCTACATAAGAACAATTACAAAACAAAAGCAATGAGATTAACACATCAATGCTGAAAACATTTGGAATATCTAATGCTATGTTTAAGAGATCAAGGCCAAACATTCTTTTGAATGCAGCCTGGTTGCAAAGCGAAGGAAACTATATTACATGCTCTCAAAGCAATCTGGCCTACACAATATCTGAAGTGATTGTTTATGTTTTCAAAATACATTAATGATCTAGAAAAAGTGCTAATATAATATGAATCTAGAGGGGAGGGGAGAGAAGGGAAGGGATTGCTACCCAAAGGTTTTACAAATGTATAAGCTGTTTCTGTCAGGTAATATTCAAACATAATAAAATAACAAATGGGATTAAGATCATCCTATTATTTTTTCACCATTTACTTTCCTGTATTTTTACTTGTTGATATTGAAGTTCCATGATGGAGGGGCTGGCACATTTTAATTTATTTTAAGTTTTCAAAAAAGAGTATTTTTAACTTATTTTGATTTCTTAAATTTTAAACTTTTTTTTATCTTAACCATTGCCCTACTTTTAAAGTTTTTGCAGATTTTGCAAGGATAAAATGGAAATAAAAACATTAAGAATAAGAATCATATAAATAGAAATTATTTTAAAGTTTATTTCAACTTCGCAAAGCTGAAATGAAAAGCCAAGGTTTGGCACATCTCAACAGTGAAGACTACTCTAGAGACTACTTCAGTAGTCTACTGAAGACTACTTCAATGAAGCCACTTCATTGCTTTTATCCATGAGTTATATAAAGTTTCTTCACTTAGCAACCTATGTGTTTCAAAATCCAAACAAATCTAAGAGCTATCATCTCTGTAATGCTGTACAGTGACCTGGAGAGTATTCAATCCTATGGAGACTTCTGCAATACCCTTTTATTGAACTAGATCTCTGCCAATCACAGTGAGCAGCAGAACTCAGTTTAGTAGAATATATTAAGATACAATAGATAATAAATTTCATTTTTATATTTTTGTAACTTTTTCAGAATTATATCTTTTTCAGAAAATTATTTTACAGCTTGAAAGAGAAATCCCTTTTTAAAACCAGTGATAGGACACAAATTCAGAATAGAATAATTGAGTTTAAACTATAGAAGTTGTTTCCAACATTGCTAAATCAGCAAATTTATTTTACTTAATCCTAGCTTTCAAAATATATAGTACTCAATAGAAGGACCCTCAGAAATGTTAGTGGAAATGTATATTAAAAGAGAAAAATATAAGTTCTAGATTTTAGTGACATAGTAGGTATAAAGGTAAAGGTTCCCCTCGCACATAGGTGCTAGTCATTCCCGACTCTAGGGGGCAGTGCTCATCTCCGTTTCAAAGCTGAAGAGCCAGCGCTCTCTGAAGATGTCTCCATGGTCATATGGCCGGCATGACTAAATGATAAAGGCGCACAGAATGCTGTTACCTTCCCACCAAAGGTGGTCCCAATTTTTCTACTTGCATTTTTTATGTGCTTTTGAACTGCTAGGTTGGCAGAAGCTGGGACAAGTAATGGGAGCTCACCCTGTTATGCGGCACTAGGGATTCGAACCACTGAACTGCTGATCTTTTGATTGACAAGCTCAGCATCTTAGCCACTGAGCCACCATGTTCCCTATAATAGTAGGTATAAGTGTTTATATTTTCTACTATCTTATTGTTGTTTTGAGCAACAATTTTTGTTATGACCTTAGGTTAAAAAATGCAGATACATGGTTTTGTGAACATCTCTAGTCATAGTTTCACATTCTTTCATATTGATATGATCTGGAAGAGGGGGGCATGGCTAAAATACTAGTCACATTGCCAGGCTTTCTAATCAAGAAATCAAATTCCCAACACAAAACAACATTTTAAAAGGTCTATGCTGGAAGAAAAAAGACAAACCAAATGACTACTCAAAGATTTTCCTTCCTCACATAATACTTAAAACACTAAAACTCATCTACCATACATCTTAAAAGTTGCTTGTTGATACTGAAGTATAAAGCTAAAGGATAATACTTTTTTTGGCACCATGTATTTTACAGTCTTTGCATTTTAAGCTCAAAGTTCATAAATTAGATGAACTCTGGAGCCTCAAATAAATTGTTACTTTGAGTTTAATGATTTAGTAATCTCATAATAAATAAATATTGCGGGATTTCTGATTCAAACTGATGAAGTCTTGACTCACAACACACCAGATTTAATTGTGATTGAAAAGAAGAAAAAATGGATAATTGATGGGGCAATACTAGGCGATAGCAGATTCAGAGAAGATCACAATTGGCCATAGTAGACCCCGTGGTTATCAGCACACTGAGTGCCATACCAAAAAATCTTGGTTGCCACTTAGAAAATCTGTGCATTGGCAAAAATTTCCAATGTGAACTAAAAAAGGCCACACTACTTGGATTCTCACAGTACAACATCCTAGGTTCTTAGAAAGAACTTGATGCAGATGAAGGCCAATACCAGCTAAAGAACTGGCAGCTGTGATTCCACATTTTTGTGTATATAATAATAATAATAATAATAATAATCCCTAGTGCCGCATAACAGGGTGAGCTCCCGTTACTTGTCCCAGCTTCTGCCAACCTAGCAGTTCAAAAGCACGTAAAAAATGCAAGTAGAAAAATAGGGACCACCTTTGGTGGGAAGGTAACAGCGTTCCATGCACCTTTGGCGTTTAGTCATGCCAACCACATGGCCATGGAGATGTCTTCGGATAGCGCTGGCTCTTCTGCTTTGAAACAGAGATGAGCACTGCCCCCTAGAATCAGGAACGACTAGCACATATATGCGAGGGGAACCTTTACCTTTACCTTAATAATAATTTATAGCTTTACTTACCTGTGATTCACATTCTGCAACAATGCCTCTAATATTATTAAACAATAACGTCTGCCTATCCCAGGTCTTTGGGAAATATTCAATAGGACAAAAAATGCCAAATCCAGTCTAAACATCTGACTGACTGTGCAACCAACCATAATACATATTGATTAAAAAATTAGCTCCTAGCAGGAAAATTAAAAGTTGACTGGTATTTAATTATATTTAATTATAGGTAGGGCATGTGCAATAATGAACATATGTGGTCAATTTATAGTACTAATCTAACCATGCAACACCCTATGAAGAACCTTTTTTTTTACATGATAGTATCGAAACAAATTTGTTCTACATGGAAGCATCCTAGTATCTAATGTATATTTACTATCAGACATTAAACTGAGACATTCAATCTTGTCTCATTTTCCTTTTTACAATAAAGGATATTGTTTTGATTTTTTTATCACCAAAATTTATTTTATTCATATATTATTAAGTTATCAAAGTATATTGTGATCATTTTCAGTTACAGTTTTAGCTGAAGATACAAAATATTGATACAATGGCCCAAAATAACACCCATGGATCTTTTTCACCTTGAAAGAATTATATCAAAACTGGTTCTCCAGGTTCAAATTTCTGTTTCCATACATGCTAATATTTAATTACGGGCACTCATATCTTACACTTAACTGTTGCAATTCATGGAAGCACATACATGAGTTGTTTAAATGCATACACATATGCTATTTTATATTGCTGTCAGACAAAAAATACAGACATAGCAATTAGATTTTTTTATATATGAAATAAGTTTATTTTAAACCTCAGCAGGGAGCAGATTCCCCTTATGCACCTGCCCAAATCCAATGAAAAAGAGTTTTTTTTCTTTTCCCGCTCTGAGGGAAATAAACTGTTACATTATTGTAACAGAATAGCCTATTTCCTTATTGCTGTTAATTTTCCTCCAAAGATTACTCTCAAAGATTTCCTTGTAGAGATGGTAGTATCCCATATGTTTTAAATAAATATATGAATACATTACGAGCTTTGCTGCTCTTGGTGTTGGAGATAGCATTGGAAGCTGCAGTTCCTCTTGGAAGCAGAAAAGACACTGCTCCCTGCAGGAGGGTTAACAGCTGAATAAAACAAATTATTTTTGCTTGGGGCTGCAAAGGAAAGAAAAAGTTCCGAACCCTGTTGGAAAGGTTGGGGTCTACACACTTCAGCAGTTCAGGATCAACAACAGGAATAAACATTCAACTTTCGGCAGATTAATATTTTGTTTAAAATAAATGTTGGCAGGGTGAGTGAATAATAACATCAACAAAATATAGACTTTTAGGCTTCAGATAAAATATAAAAATTAAAGACGCGCCCAAGTTTTCAACACCACAGAATACATGCATGCATAACAAACTATTTTTTCTGCTGAAGTGACCTGCAGCTGAAATGATTTAGAGGACAGAGCTGGAAATGAGAAACAGGAGAATAATATTTTTGCAGAATCCATGTGGATCAGACAATATAAAAACAATTATTATTGGGTATGAATGGGAATTTCCTTCCTCACATGAAGAATACTATTTGCAATAGTTATTTGGCGATATATTAGAAGACACAATATATTTATTGCCTATAGTACACCTAAGAAGGGTAAGAGAACAATATCTTGGATGTCTGTCTTCATACTTCTCTTATGTTGTCCTGAAATCTTTTAAACTTCACACCACACCAATAATTGGTAAATATTCAAATCTATTTTATATTTTGGGAACCTAACCTTAAAAAAAACTTTCCTACACATCCAATAAATCGTTTTAAATCGTTTTTTAATTGGGTTACTGATTTTAATTTGGTATTGTATTGTGATTTGTATTGAAGTTGTCATTTTGTAAGCCGCCTTGAGTCCCTAGGGAGAAAGGCGGCATATAAATCGCAATAAATAAATAAATAAAATAAATAAATATATATAAAGGTAAAGGTTCCCCTTGCACATAGGTGCTAGTCGTTCCCGACTCTAGGGGGCGGTGCTCATCTCTGTTTCAAAGTCGAAAAGCCAGCGCTGTCAGAAGATGTCTCCGTGGTCATGTGGTCGGCATGACTAAATGCCAAAGGCGCACAGAATGCTGTTACCTTCCCACCAAAGATGGTCCCTATTTTTCTACTTGCATTTT